ATTAATTGGCTGAGTGTCTCTGGGGTTTATCACCTTTATCTGAGCAGACGGAGATTCCATAAGACCATAATTGGACTACATTGAGTGTTACCAGCAGGTGTTCAGCTCAGGGATGCCGTATCTACCAACCTAGAAGTAGTATGATCTTTGCCTTTCTTTTTACTTTTATCTCTGTGTTGCTTTGGATTGAACCCAGGGCCCTGCATGCCCTAGACAAGCACTGCACCATTCACCTGCATTTCCATCCCCAATGGAAAGGAGCAGGTGCGCTTCTTTTGAACTTCTTAGTGTTTAAAGTTTACTCACTTTCCCACACTTCCCATACAAATCATTCTTTCACTCTAGTTCAACACTTAGAGATTTCTTCTAGGTTGCAACCTGTCTCATAAGTGTCTTGTGTCTACCTTTTATTTCTTCTGCTATTTTACACACTAAAGACATTACAGCAAGTCCCCAAATGGGTAAATGCTTATCAGATCAGGTTTGTAGTGTCTCTTTTATCAGCTAAGGCAAACCACATGGATAAACCCATAGTTAGCATGCAGGTGGACTACACAAGCCAGTGGACAACAAAAGTTTGATTTGTTGGGTGTAGTTGAAGTTTCTTTGGGACCACCAGTTCCCAGATAATGACACAGAGATATTATTAATTATGAAAGCTTGGCCTTTAGCTTAGGTTTGTCCCACTAGCTCTTATAACTTAAATTAACCTATTTCTATTAATCTACATTCTGCCACAAGGCTTTTTACTTCTATTCTGTGTGTCCGACTCTCTTCTGTGTCTTGCTGGCGGCACATCTGATGTGAGCCTAGATTCTTCCTGAGTTCCTCTTTTTCCCCGGAAGTCCCACCTAACCTCTCCTGCCTAGCTATTGGCAATTCAGCTCTTCATTAAACCACTCAGGTGCCTTAGGCAGGTGAGAAAGGACAGAGACAAATCTTTACACAGTTTGCTCAAATATCTCACAACAGTTGGGAGTGACTATTGACAATCTACTACTTTAATTTTAAAGAAAAGTTATTTTATGAAGCTCAGGCTAGCCTTGAACTTGCTACGTAGTTAAGCTGGCCTAGAACTCCTTGATCCTCCTTCCTCTGCCTTCCAAGTGCTGAGATGACAAGTGTGTATCACCACTCTCTGCTTAACAATGTACTATTAACACATTTAGGAAACGGCTGATCAGTGTATCAGGCCGAGTTCTTCAGAGAAACAGAACCACCCACCCCACCTCTTGAGAATGTGGACATTGTGTTCTCTAGACTTCTTCCTGTTGTGTGTGGGCTACAGCATCTTTATGGCATCTAAGAAAATTGAGATAATGGTTGAGTCCTGGGAAAAACTAGCCATATTATTTGTTGTTCAGTCTCTGTGTAATGGGAAAGCACAAGCTTTATCTGCAGTCCTGGCTAGAATAGTCTGTGAGGCTGGACCATCTCAGCCAGCAGCCTTGAAGCTGTTTGGATGCAGGACTCTGAGGAAACTGCAACAGAGGCACCCTGAGAGGTTGAATCACCTGGGTCACCCAGTTTCATTGGTGTCTGGTCCCCCTGCTCTGAAAACACACAGACTTACGAAGGTAACATACATATCTGTATTAACACAAGTATGGACTGTGCCTTGTACACAAGACAGCCAAAGATGATTCTTTGTTTTATGTTTGGGCAGGTAAAAGATATGTCACTTGTTTTGTAGTTTTTCTAGGTTTCTTTCTTTATGTCTATAGCCAGGATTTTCAAGGTGTCTCCCCCGATCAAACCTAATCTTCTTTAACCTTGAATGAATCCACAATCTTTTGTTTTCTGTGGAAACAAAAGCATAACCTCTTCCCCAAAGCAATACATTTTCTGACTTGCATTTTAAAGTTAAGGCATTCCTAAAGTATCTAGGCTGGTTTAATTCAGCAGTCCCCTCCACAATCTATTGTCTCTCAGCAGCCGTCATTTTTTGTTTATTAGCATTCAAAAAAATTCAAAATCAACAAGACACCATATAGGATCCAGGCTCTCTGTATATTTTCCATCCTTACATGACTTATCTTTTTAATATTATTTTATTCTCTCTTTAAAGACTTTATCGTATTATTTTTAAACTTTATTTTTTATGACTGTCTATACCCATTTTATTTTTAAACACATTGTACTTTTTAGAGGTTTTATGTGTCCTCTGGCTTTACTAAGCATCTGCAGTGTTCTCTGATTGTGTGAGACAAATCTTAAACTGTTGTATCAGCTGCTGGTGAGGCTCAGCTTAGCTCATGGCACTGGCAGCTGGCTCCCATCTGCAGGCAGTCTCTGTATGCCGAGCCTACCTGAGAGACCTTGGTCACTAGGAAGGCATGCCAGGAAGCTACATTGAACTCCAAGTTTTGAATCTTTTTTTTTTTTTTTTTTTTTTTTTTTTTTTTAGCTTTCTCAGACCTCATGTGGATATACATGGCCAGACATTGGTAGCCGAGTATATGGATTTTTATTTGTGCTGAAAGCTCACACAAAAAAAATGATACAGGGATTTATTATTAATTATGGAAGCTTGGCCTGTAGCTTAGGCTTGTCCCACTAGTTCTTGTAACTTAAATTAGCCCGTTTCTATTCAGCTACATGTTGCTATGTGACATGTAGCTTTTACCTCTCCTTCTGGATGTCTTGCTCTCTCTGCATCTGGCTGGTGACTCCTCCTTTTTTCTCCCCAGAGCTCTTTGTCCCCAGAAGTCCCACTTAACCTCTTTCTGCTAGCTAATGGCCATTCGGCTCTTTATTAAGTCAATCACAGTGACACATCTTCACACAGTGTAAAGGAATATTCCAGAACAGTGGACGTTGTTAATGACCTGGTGACCTTTGTTACCTGTTGCACCAGACCTCACCTACATCCCCAGAATGTTTATCCCAGACTCTCCCTCCCCAAACCTTTATGTTTAGCTTTGTTTCTCAGTCAGTAGAATCCAGCCTTTCCTGCTGACCTCTCTGATATCTAGATCAGAGACCACACTAGTTTCTAGACCCTTAAGCTATAGATCCCATCTTCATGGTAGAGGTCACATGGACTTTGCCAAAGAGATTCGATGCAGCCATGCCTTAACCTTTATTGTGCACATGGGACTGGGATAATTGTTACCAGGAAACTTTCTTCCAAAGTTAAACTGTACTTAACTATGTCTAAAATAAACTCTAGAAGTTGGAACCAACACTGGCTATCTAAGTCATGCTGAACCAAGTGTCTTTCTTGCCTCCGGTGGTCTATTTCTCTGCTGGCTGTATAACTTGCAGGGATTCCTACACAGTACAGGAAGCACAGTTCAAATCTGGTGCTGAGAACCTGGAAGATTCCCGGAGGGTGGTTTCTGGTCTGCATTCCAGGTTAAGGCTGAAGAAGCTGAACAGTGGTGTCAACAGAGGACAGCATCAGTACCAAAGATGGACATGCTCACCAGTAAGACTCGAAAGCAGGCAAACAAGCAGCACTGACCTCTCAGGAGTCCACTTCCTCTCGAGGTCACCAGGTAGAAGGCGCCCCCCACTCTAGTGGAGGGTCATTCCCCCTCAGCTAATTCGTGGACATATCAATTTTAACAAGGGTTTATGAAGATACAGCTGATTGGGCCCTCTGACATACTTTAGATCACTTCTCAATTGCTTGTAATAACCAATACAGTGTAAGTACATGAAAATAGTTGTTATTCTGCTCTATTAAGGGAATAATCACAAGAAAAAAGTCTATGGAAGCTCCAGGCAGGTGCACATTTATTTCCAAGTACTTTGGGTCTGAGGCTAATTGCAACTGCAGATTCAGAACCACAGTTAGGGAGGCCTGGCAGCAATGTCTTCCGCTCTTTTGGCACATTTACTACGCACAAGGTTCTGAGCTGGCGGCCGCCGTGGTTACGATAAAGATGGGGATTTGGATCTTGATTACACTTGAGTAGATTTATCGTCTAAGCAGATTTATTTTTTAAGATAGGGCGCCTAAGTGTCCTTAGGTTCAGATAAAGCTGTGAACGTCTCCCTTACACAGGAGGGAAAGCTTCACAGAGTAGGTGACACTTGACCCGGGCCTTGAAGATACCTAGGATCTGGAGCCCAGGGACTACGGAATTTTCTCCTCTGCGTGGCACAAAGAGAGACGTAAATCACTAGAGACCACTCAAAAACGTTTTTACTTATTTATTTTTTTTAAACTACATTTTTGCCTCTGGTTCCAGAATGAGCATTCTGCAAGTAAGCAGCTGTCACCAGGCCAGGGAGCGGTGTTTTCCTCCCCAAACCTTGAAGTCTCAGTCTCAAACCCGCCTCATCTTGGGGGACGGGTAGAACCGGCCCTGCCTTCTTCCACAGGGAGCAGCCAGAGAGGGCGTTTTAGCGCCGTGCTGTCTGGCTGCGGTGGGCACGGAGTCCGCGAAGGGCGCGGCTCTTTGTGCTCCTTTTCCCACAGGCCTGGGCTGGCACGGCGACCTCCCCACCCCAGGCTCTCAGCCGCCCCGCTGCTCCGCCAGGGCCATCCCAGCTCCAGATTTAGGACGAGGCTGCGGAGAGCAGCGCAGCAGCTGTAGCACCCCGCCGGCCGCGGGTCCTAAACTGTTTTGCTGGTCCCTGCAGTGCATTTAACACAGACTGATACCATCTGACCGCGTACGAGCCCCTTCCTTCCCTCTCTACGCAAGGGAGTGGGCGGAGACTTGCGCGCTCCCCCCCCACCCCGGGCGACTTTGCGCCTGCGTAGCTCCGCCCAAGCCCCGCCTCCTCCCCGTCGCCCCGCCTCCTCTCTGTCGCCCCGTCCTGTTATCCCGGGCTCCGCCGCTAGGGGTGGCGGCTGCGGCTACGGCCTGAGTGAAGGCGCGGTTGCTTTGAGGGCGCCGCAGCCCTACCGAGTGGGGACAGCGCGAGGCCAGAGGGTGGGAAAGCGGCCGGCGGCGGAGGGCGGCGCCGGAGGAGGGCGGCGCGCGGTGACTCATCCCTCTGGAAGATCAGACACGCTCGCCGAGCCCGCCCGCCCGCCCGCGCCGCCGCTCCTCCTCAACCGGGAGGCGCCCGCCCGCACCGCCCGCCCGCTCCGAGCTCCCAGCCCGGCCGCGGCACAGAAAGTTTTCCCGGGCTCCGGGCCTGCGGGAAGCGGAGCGGGCACGGCAGGGAGGCGGTCGCCGTGCGGGCCCGCCGAGTGCATGGTGCCGGGCGCCCGGGCCGTGCGTCTGGAGGACCCGGGGCGGGGCCGGGCTGAGCCCAGCTCCTGAGCCTCTCTCTGTCCAGCGGCGTCCGAAGCCGGACGAAGCCTTGGGACTGCCGCGGGGGTCGCGCTCCAACGCCATGTCCCGGCTGCTGCCGCTGCTGGGGAGCCGGACGGTGCGCAGCCTGAGGCCGGGCCCTGCCGCCGCGCCCCGCCCGCCGTCCTGGTGCGGCTGCGGCCGGGGGCCGCTGGCGCTCGGGGTCCCCGGCGGTCCCCGGCTCCTGGGCACCCACCCCAAGAAGGAGCCCATGGAGGCGCTGAACACGGCGCAGGGCGCGCGCGACTTCATCTACAGTCTGCACTCCACCGAGAGGAGCTGCTTGCTCAAAGAGCTGCACCGCTTCGAGTCCATTGCCATCGCCCAAGGTAAGCGGGTGGGGCCGCCTGGGAAGACCTCGTTCTCGGACCCCCTGTCGCCTCCCCACCCGCTGGCCCCGCGCCTGGGACGGCCGAAAGGGGAAACTTTCCACCTCCCGAGTGTCCCCCAGGGCAGGTAGGACACGCGCGGATCGTGCCAGGCAGCTGGGGCCAACAAGCCTGGCTGTGGGGCCTCCCTAGCCATGGAATTCAGGAGCTTCAGCCTGAAATGCCAGCTGACTCTTGGGATTGTGATTTGGTTGGTCCCGTGCCTCTTCTCTTCAGCCCTCCATTCCCTAAGCCGCTGGTGTCTTCCTGAGAACGTGCCACCCATGCGGGTGGCATGCCCTGCCTGCTCTAAGAAAGTGCTACGAACTAGGCAGGCGAGAGGAAACTTTCTTGAAGGTGTGTGGATGTCCCCCCGAAAAGGGGTGTAGCTTCCCGAGACAGGGATGCTCTAGGTTGTGTATTGTTACTCACATCTGCTTGAGGAACGGCCCAAGGCAACCTCTTCTCGGGGAAATAGAAAGAATGTATCGAGCCAGCCACTGAGTGTACTGGAAGCCCGGAGATTCAAATTGAACTCCAATGTTTTGTTTCCTTGGAGTTGGGAAGAACGAAGTGAGTTTTTGGGTGGTGGAGGTTAGGGACTCTGGGGCTTGAAAATGAAAAACACACTTCTACTTAAAAATAACTGGGAAAGGATGAAAGAAAAGCTAATTTTAAACACATGTTAAGATAGGATATTTTTAAGACAAGTGCGGAATGTGGTAGGTCAGAATTGAGTGCAGGTGAAAAGGCTAAAAGTTCAGAAAAAGACTTGAAAGGATGCAAAGACCGAAATGGATTCAGTCTTCAAATGTATCTTTTTTGCTACGGAAATTCTGTTGAATACACAAAAAACGCCCAGCTACTATTTTATATTACATTCGAATGCGTTGGAAAGTTTTTAGATAGTCGAAGTTGGTACTGTATAATATATAAACACTCCATAGGTTCTGACGTATGGAGCACATTAATTTGGAATGTGTCTGTCAAGCATCTTGAGAGTTTGTCATTGGCCTATGCTCGAGAGCAAAGTGAATTCTACCTCATATTAGCATGGCTTCCCTTTATTACTGAAGAAACTTCTTATTAGTTGTACCCTTTAACTACTTTAATTTTTTTTTCTAGTTTAGGGAGTTGTGAACTGATATACAGTAGTGGATAATTTCAAGCATTATTCACCCACAGTGCTTTTTACAGGAAAAAGGCAACATCCCAATCAATTCAGTTAGTAAAGCACAATGTTATGGGAAATCATAATTGAATACTAGCATATTTTTAGTCTATGTGTGTTTTCTATGTGTAGCTTAAAAATGTGCTCTCTGAAAAACAGTGTAGGTAGTCATGTCTTAGAAGGTCACATTTTGTCACTCAGGCAAGACTAGGTAAACATTCATTTTCCCTTCTCAAAAGCAAGATCTTGGACATTCTACATTGTCAGCATGTTGCGAGCTTGGAGGGCCCTGTGAATAGAATTGTATAGCAGTTATTGAAAAGCATGTTCCACAATACTTGACTTGCTAACTTTTACCTCATGCGTTACTATTTTTGCACAGGCCAGCAGTGTGTCAGGTGGGAGTGCCACATTTCCCAATGACGGCAGTACGTTTAAATCTAAGGTGGAAAAAATAAATAAGTCTAAGATGGTTTTAGATATCCTTGGAAGGACCTAAAAACTCAAGTCCGTGGAGGTCATGAACATCAATGGAGCTTAATGATCTAAGTCATTTGAGGAAACCGTTGGTAATTTACATATGTTTGTTCAGCAGAAAAGGTGGTTTAGTGCCTCCTGTTTATAAGCTAAAGGACTTTAAAGTTTGGTCAGTTAAATTGTTGATGCTACTGACTGAATCATTGCCTTTTGAGTTAAGTGACACTTAGAGGTGCTGCTGCATTAACTTTTAGCATGCCTCAGTGCTCACTTACAGTTTTTATCACCACTACATGTAGTTAGTGGATAACTAGACTTACTTAGTAACTTACCTTGCTCATCAGTCACACGAGGGATCTTATGCACTGGGAATGTGTACAGCTTATGCATACTATTGCTGAAATTATTGTAGTTTTTTTTTAATGAAAACCTTTCATGTTTTTCTTTACTTTTTTCAGTATTGATTGTTAAATTTTAATTATATTTTAATCACTTATTTTTGTATGTGAGTGTGACACTGCATGCTTTTGGAGGCCAGAGGACAATGTGTGGGAGCCATCCAGTCTTTCCTCCGAACATACTGGTCCAGGAGCTGAAACTGGGGCCCTTAGGCCTGGCGGCAAGTGCCCGTCTTCATAATGTTTTAAAATACCATCTAATGTACTAAATACATGAGTACTAACCACACTTTCTAATGAAGTACAGTCACTGTGAAAGGGCTGTTTCTTACCATAGAATGCCTGCGTGCCCTTGGAAAGGTGCTTAGATCATCTGAGGAAGCATTCTGGCTTTGATGGAACATAACAGAAAGGAAAAAAAAAATCGTCTTTGCTTTGGGACGGATCGTGAGAGCTGCTGAAGTTCGGCGCTTGGCCCTTATCTTTCTCCAGCGTCTATTGGTAGGCCTGTGGTGACATTTGTGACAAGATAACACACTGCAGAATCAGTTTACAACCAGTGAGGCTGACTTTGTGGAGTAGCTTATCTTAGTGAGTTGGGTTGTTTCGATTTTAAAATTATAAACTGATTTCCTTCCCAGTTTGAAGAAAAAGTTGATGTTGCATTCTGAGCTGGCCACTTGCTTTCTCTTCCAGAGGTAGGCTGCGTTCATGGACAGCAGGTTGGCTCTTCGTCATAAGTGGGCCTGACAAGCTGATGTCATTACAGTTGCCTTTTAGCATTAGCCAAGATTTTTAAGGCAATATCTTCTTCCTCATTTTTGCAACTAACACTTCTGTTTATAATTATTTTAAAAACCTTTAAAAGTGCATTTTGCTTTTGAACCAAGGTAGTGGTCATTGAATTAGTCGTTATCTGATACTATAAAACAAATTTTATCAAAACACAGAAATGTAGAACGAGCCCCTCACAGTTTCTAATGTTCTGAAATCTTGAGCCACTTACATGGGTATTTCTTATTCGTAGTCTTTCACCATATGGAAACCAAGCTTTTGGCTTTTTGAGATCTTGGCTGGGCCTGGAGGATTCATTCCGAGCAGGACTCACTCACACGGCTGTTGGCTGGCAGTGTTGGATCTTTGCTGTATGGACCTTTCTCCAGGGCTGATAGCTTTTGAGACGGAATTCCTGGAGAGACGAGGGAGGGAAGATGGGTGCTCAGTGAAGGAAGGAGGTCTGGAAGCCAGGCTTTTATAGTGCAGTCTTAGAAGTACCATCTCTTGTTTGCTGTGGTACCTTGTAGGAGGTTCCTATACAGGATGTGAATATTGCATCAGAGATTGGGAGCCACTGGGGTCATGTTGGAGGCTGATTGCCATACTTACTGAGGTTTAATGAACAGTGACTGTAGAGTTATGTAAGACAGGAGCTGGCTTTGGGAGAGCTATCATAAGAGATGAGATTTGAAAAAAAGCTTCTTAGGGAATATTGTTGTTAAATGTATTTAGATTTTTAAAAAAGAGTTTTTTGTATGGCAAATAAGTTATACCAAGGTGGCAGTTACCTGGCAGAGGCGTTACCACGGTCAAGTGAGTAGTTTTCCTAGGGTGAGGCTCATCCATGGCACTCAGGGTGTGCTTACCCTGCGATTTCCCCACATTGTGGGGGGGGAGGGGGATGGGGACGGGGACGGGACCGAGTGTGTTTGTGCTTTACTCTAAAAAGAAAAAGAAAGCCATTTCAAGGTGAATAGTGCATTTTTTCTGTCATCAGCAGACTCATTAGCTGACAGTTTTTGTTTCTCCGGGTACACTGTAATTATGTACTTTTAAAGTTTGTCTCACTACTTATGTAATCCATAGTACTCATCTAATTCTAAACTGTATCTCTTCACTCCTCCCCCTTTGTGATTGTTATTTATGGTAGGCCAAGCCTCTCTGTTCGGAGTGTTGGCAAGTAGCCTAAAGGCCTTTGACAAAATGAAAGTCTGGCAGCTCTTGGGCTGGACATGTAGAGTCCTTACACATGACCAAGTTTTTCCATGGAGATTGCTCTCCTAGGGGTCTTGTACCTTTAAAAACTCTCTCCCTGTTCTCCATAGCCTGTCCCTCAGGATTCTATGAGAAAGAAGCAGGTGTGTCCACGTTCTAGCCTCTGGCATCGATTGGGCTAGCCCTAGCTTTGGCTCAAAGAGAAAAGCATTTCCTCTGTCAATTAAGACACATGACTAAAGACATTTCAGTACCTTAGTTGAGATAATAAAAGAGGAATATGGGAGGGGTGGCCCCACCTGGGCTCAGCTAGAGGGCAGGATCGGTTAGCTGGAGGGTCCCAGAAGAATTTACACACAGGGGCCTGGGCACTCCTGGAACTACGCACCCAGGCAGATACAGGATTCCTCAGTAACGTGACAGTGGCGTTTCAGAAGGGCTTTAGGTAATAGGTTGGAACGCCTAGGGAAAATGTTCCAAGAGGGATCAGAGAAGCTATAAAACTTTGTATCCATTTCCTATTGCTGCTGTAACAAGTTAGCACCTTTTCCATGCTTAAGGTGCTTAAAACAGCAAGCTGTTACTCTTGGAGAGTTTTGGCAACTCAGGGTCCAAAGTGAGTCTTGAAGGGTGCTTGTCAGCAAGGCCCCGTCCTCGTGGAGTCTCTGGGGAGAATCTGTTCCTTTCTTCTTCCAACTTTTAGCATTCCTTGGCTCTTGGCCCCGTCACTTGAATCTCTGTTTTGATTGTTGTATTGTCTTCTTTCTTTCCCCTTCCCTTTGTAAGGACTCTTGGGACTACATTTAGTTTTCCATTAGCCATTATTATGCCCTGGATAACCCTCATTGCACATGTCACTTTACAAAGCTTGTGACAACATTTAAGGACCCAACCAGACAATGCAGAATAATCTCTCCTAAAAT